GCCTGCCCAGTTTGTCACAATTTCATATACGTATTTGAGTATTGATGACAGTCATAATTACCGCACTTTAACACTGTAGTTGCAACTTTTTTTTTTTCATTCTAGACCTTCAAATTGGTGGTATAGAGATAGTCCCTCTAAAATGTCAATTCAGCTTGTGTTGTTCAATATTTCTTCCTTTTTGCATGCAAATAATAGCAAAGTTAAATTACTTTGAAAAAACTTCAAAAATGAATGTTCTTTCGTTAAAAACAATTGAAAAATAAAATTCAATTCATACAATCAATCAATCATTAATTTACTCTTTTTGAGAGTGTCAGTGATAACTTCCATCATGCAGGGCACAGTCGAGGCCAGTGGACCAGTGACATGGGCCTGTGACAAACTAGCCTGCTTCCTTTTTCAGTTGGGTTGAGTTACATTGTGTCTTTTTACTTTCTACCTTGTCCCTTCAGTAAAGTCAAAGATGGTGTATAACAAGATAGTTCAATCCTCTCTTCGAGGCAATTAAAAAAGTGTTCTCAATATTCGGTGGCGCCCTCTTCGAAAAAGAGCGGACTTTGAGAACAGAGTTACCCTTCTTGTGAGAAAAACACAGAACTCTACACTTTTACTGAGTGTAGAATTCTGTGGTGAAAGACAATAAAAGTGAAACTAACAAACTTTGCTTTTCCTATTTTTCTTTAGAAGAAACGAAAGAGAGCTTCAAAAGAAAGAGTGCAGCGCCATCTTAACCAATGCGTGGACTTCCGCGGACACTTTTTCGGCTGAGTGAACTATCTTGTTATTAACGATCTTTGGTGAGGTGCGCCAACTTGAGAAAACCACATGTCGATGTGAAAAAGGTGAAATGTATAAGTTAACCCTATCCGTACGTCGTGTTCTACTATCGTATCCATACGACGTGGGGAACTCTGTGCCACCACTTAACCCTATCCGTACGTCCTGTTCTACTATCGTATCCATACGACGTGGGGAACTCTGTGCCACCACTTTCGAAAGAGGAAATTTACTCGTTAATCCGATCCGTACGCTTTGCATAGCAGTCTGTCAAAATGATTTTTGGAGAAATATCCTACTGAAAGTTTGAAAAAGATCTTCGTACTAGAAGTATTCTAAAATGTGAAGAATACAACCCGGGGGTACAAGATGACCCCAGGTCGTACGGATAGGGTTCAAAAGTAGCGTACGTGAGGGTGTATTGTGTTTGCGACATATTATTACGTATTATGTAGGCCTATGTATATAATTATATTATAGATCTATTACATGTGTGTTCATTTGATGACGAACGTAGGGGCAACACGAGGGTCAAAGCCAACAAACCTTGCGAGAATGTGTCAAAGAAACTATTTCTCTCTCTCTCTCTCTCTCTCTCTCTCTCTCTC